ACCACGTTGTGTTAAAATGGTCAAGCACCCTCGAGGCAATTACACAGTGCTTGCGACTGTCTCAGGAAGTGAAAGCACCAGAAAATAAATTAATTCATACGCAGCTGTCATCCGTACGCAAGGAAGTAAGCACAAGATGCCGAACACCCTTAGCAGGATGCAGCGCACCCTTCATGCGACTCGCCGAATATCTCACGGCGCTTCGCGCTTGGTGATGTGAGAGCCTGGTCCGGTGAGAACCCGGCGTGCTCCGTCCCGGCTTTGTAGGGATGCGAGGTCAATGGTCTAACGACTACGGCATGCACGACTATGAGTACCCCCCCCCCCCTCCCCCCCTCTCCAACACCGCCCTCTATTTTGCGCTTCCCCCGCATAACCCACTTCCAGCATTCCTACTTTCTGGAGTGCGGGCACAACCTCCAGCGGTTGAACGTCAACATGGCTGCCTTGCTGGCACATCCATATCAGGTCTGTTTGTGAGCTCCGTCTTGTTCTCTGGCGTGTCTGCAGTCGTTGAGATGTCAGCAACGTACGCTTGAGTTTCTCCTGGCGTGACACCTTTGTGGCCACTGCCGCTTTCTTGTGGTGCTTGTTGGAAGTTTGTGGTGGTGGTGGCTTGGTGCGTCGTCCCGAACCGAAAAGGAACAAGGGGCTAGCCACGTTGGTATGAATGGAACTGGTACTACTGCTGCATCCCCGCTCGAACGCACTGGTACGCATGATCGCCGGAGGAAAAAATAATAAAATTGGTTTCCATGGCAAAAAATAAGGGTAGAATTCGGAGCTAGCTCCACAGCGCGCACGGCACGCAAACTGTTCGGTCTCGTTGATTTTTCTTTTTTGGCATTTTGATCTTCGGAGCATATCATTTAACTCCAAGTCTTTGTTCCTGTCTTCCGCCGGTTTGCGCTGGTCGGTTGTTCCTTTTTCTTCGTCGCTTTTTCTCCGATTTCGCGTGCCACTTCCCCAGCGAGACTATCAAGACACATTTTTTGACAAGATTGCTGCCCCTGGCAGTGGCGCAGCGGGCGCCCCCCCCGCGGCCCGCCTCGACAACAGCGCCAATGCCGCCGGGGCCCTGAGCAATAGCACCACTAACGGTGGGGCTCCCTCGGGAGTACCCGGCTCCGCCGGCGGACTCACAATGATTTGAACCTGCAGACTCAGAGAGAGACAGAGAAAAGGTGCCCCCAGTTTTGTTATTGGCCAATTTCGTTGGAAGGAGATTTCTGATTGGCCAACAATCCCGGGTCGGTCGATGACGTCAGCCATGTTCTTGAAGCGTGGAATCGAGTCTATTCAATGAGGTTGTGGGGGTGTTGGGGGTCTTGGTGTCGGAGTGACATCAGCAGCGAGCACCAGTGTTGGCGGTAGTGGCAGCAGCAGCATTCGTGTCTACGTCGAGAGGTGCAACAGCAGTCGTCTGGAATGTCGGGATTATTAGAGAGGGGGGAGACGAAATGCTTGTGGAGGTGTGCTGCTACATGTAGGTGTTAATGAGAGCGCCCATGGCAACACATGGCGATGAATGGAATGATTTCTGCGAGATGTGGGCAAGCACACTTCATTGATCGGCGTTACGTAGTTTGATGCAACGATGCCAAGGTTTTTGAACCGGTAGATATGCGTGCGAGTTTCGGCAGGTTCGGGTGGAGTCGACCAGCCTCTACATGCGATCGGTGCATACGCCGACTTCTTGCGGCTACGCGGTTTTGGGCTTAGGTTGCGCGCTGCTTTCGAAGGCAGTGCAGAGAGAGGTGAATATCTGATTGCAATGCTCGTTGAACTCGCCCATGAGTCATCCCACAAGGATCGTATGTTCTTGTCAAGCTCAAATCAACCCAACATCACCCAATGCGTTGGATACAAGTGTGCTCTTGGAGACGCCAATTATTTCGGGTAGGGTGTGTTGTGTTCTCGTCCTATTTATTATGGCGACACTCCCCCCTTTTTTCGTGGTAAGACGTGTACTAGTCTACACTCTTTCAGCGTATGTAGAGTACTACACTTTTCAGCGTATTTTTCGTACAACTACAACCATCCAGGGTCATCCAGGAGGGCCCTACCGGTCGCCCATGTGGTCTAGTGGGTAACCTCGCAGCCTGCCAAGGGCCAGGTCATGAGTTCGAGTCCCGACAGAGTGAGTTTTTTTTCCCTAACAAATCCTGGTCTAGGATGAAAGCGACNTTTTTCTCTCTAAATAAATCCTGGTCTAGGATGAAAGCGACGCGCTGCAAAGCTCTTTGTTAGTAAACCATAATCGACTTCGTAAGTCGCGAGGGAAGGGATTGCTGTACCCTTCTCGCGATAAAAATACCTCAGGCAGGAACCGCCGGAGGGGGTCCACCCCCCCCTCCTATGTGACCCCGGTTGGGTCGTCTAGCTAGTAGAAGTGGAGGATAGGGGCCAGAGGGGCAGATGACGGAGTCCAATGATGGGAGAAAAAAAAAAAAATGGAGGGGGTAAACACCAGGGCTTTTTTCTTTTTATTTCTTTTAATGCCCCACCTTCCTCCTGCGGTGCGTGCTGAATTTTATTTTTATCGCGAGAAGGGTCTAGCCGTCCCTTTCCCTCGTCAACGGTGCTAACGTCGAAGTTTGGTACTCACGAGAGCTTTTTAGCTGTATTTCGCTTTCACGCGCAAATTTCGTTCACCCCATGGGGATTCGAACTCACGACCACTCTCTGTGACTAGCGGATTACGAGGATACCATTAGACCACCGGGGCGACCGGTTGTAGGGTACATACTTGCGACGCAGCATCCGCGGGGTCGCCGATAGCCAGCAAGTGTGTTTTTTTCAGCTTGTCTTCCGAGGGGGTGAAGGGGCAATTCACTGTAGATACATCTCCATACAGCAGGGCTGGAGATAAGAAACGCCTAAAAGTTTCGGGTGTGTAGGCTCAATAATTTTCTTTTCTTCCCCATCGCCCAGAAAACATTCAAAGAGTTTCAGAGTTTATTCCTAGCGAAATGTAGTTCAAGAGTAGTGTTCGGAATCCTCGCCGAATTTTGATGGTTGTCTTCAACATTTTGTGCTGTTCTTTGACGTTTCAAGTGTTGTTGGGTGTGTATGAATAGAAACAGGGTGAAAAACTGCCAGACATCCATCCGCTAATGCTTGCTGCCCTACTTCTTTCCCTGCTCGTCGATCTCCGAGCAAGGCACAGCAAGCAAGTTGCCAAAGGTCACTGCGACAGGTGAACGAACAGCAACACAACAAGATACCACGGAGCTAGGGTTCCTTGCGAGAACCATTCAAGCACAATTGCGTTGTTTCGACGATCATGATATTATTGCTGGTCTCCAAACGTTAGCAGCAGCATCAGGATACAGCAGCACCCATGCACCCACAAACAAATGCCGAACAGAACAATAAAGTGCGATCAATGTGATTCCTAAAAAAATCACACATGTGCGAACAAGACATCATTCACATCACACCCACTCCTTCTCCTGACTGCGCTACTTCGCCAGCATCAGCGACAAGACACAGATTCCGATACCGTAACACTTGCAGGTATGTCGATGGCGCTGGTGGGAGTTGTGCAGGGCACTGTAGACCATGCAATGTGCGCGACAACTCTTGGATGTACAGTATGCTCTACATGTAATGTGTTGTGGCATATTCTATGTAGTAGCAATGATAGGTGCCGGGCACAAACGGTAAGACTCGCCGGAACAACACAATATGCGTAACCTCTACAACAAGCAGTAGCAAACGACATTGTTGAGGGAAGGCAACCATCCGACAAATCATTGGTTTGAAGATTTCCAGAAGCCAGGCGTGTACCTTGACTTGATTTTCAGGCGCGTTGGGTATTTATCACACAAATAACCGTAGTTCCCGTGCTCGCCCGCCTATGGGCATGCATCTTCATCATGGTGAGGGGACAAGGAGGAGGTACAAAGAAAGGGCCAAAAAGTCTTGGCGATACGTGTGACACGCAGAACGGTTAGAAAATTCCTTGGGGTGCTGTAGTCTAGACGGAATGGTTCGGTAGTTTTCTCAACACCTTGCTTCAGAAGACCTCTCTCCGTCGGGACGTGTGGGCGTCGAGTATATAGAACATAGCTTCGGAATGAACCCTCTCCTCACTCGGTCCTTCAACGCGATTTCTGAAAGATGTTTACTCAGCATCGCCTATGTACACGCACCACACGTCCATTCCTGTTTATGGCTCTGGCCACAGACTACACAGATTACTTAGATTGCGTAGATTACTTCACTCTCCTCGAGAAGACCTCCACATTACATGTAGTAAATTCGCAAGTTCGGTTCGATGGATGACGAGGGATTTCTTTTATTGTCTTGGTCGCCCGAATAGGTTTGAAGTTGGCGTCTTGTTTGAGAGTAGATGTGACAGATTTGCGTAGAATAGGGTACGATGTTATCATGAACGGAGTAGAAAGGGCTTTTCCAACACGGATATGTAGCATGGATCAAAGCATTTGTTGGATTTCAGCTTTTTTTACAGGAGGACATCAACGCAGTAGTATTTTAGCAAGCTTACGAACGCACATAGGATACCATGAGGATTGTCATTGGTTATATTTCAAGTTGAAGAGGATATATTTTTACGATGTAAGTGACAGTAGAAATAAGTCCTACATATGTTGTTGTACTTCGTTTTGGTTTAATATTCATGTAGAGAATGAGACATAAAGTGAAAGTTTTCTGAGGTACATCTGCAATTGTCGGAAGGCAAAGAAAAAAAATAAATAGGTTACACAATTTCTTACGCCGCATCCATGTCACGCCGGACACACGGTCCCTCGTTGTTGTTGTCTTCACATTAATCTCTTGTCGGTTGCCGATCCCAACAACCAGCAAAGACGCAGTCCGTGGCCACAAAAATGCTAGAGCCATCAGAAGATTTAAAGAACAAACACATGGATGTGAATATTTCTGAGTTTGTATTGATGTTTTCTAGTAATAATGTAGGTAAAGAGCAAGAAAAAAGGGGATGGCAAATATCTTCCATGAGGACGATGGGGAAGACGACGATGATCACCGCGAGGGCATTATCATACGCCTGAGCGTTCCAGCTTCAGAAAGTGTTAGGCGCTCACGCGTTGATGAGCGCTTCTTACCCGATGAGCGCTTGCCGGAGCTTTTGCTCAACGCTGCGGCGACCTGTGTTTGGTTCGGGGATCGACTACTGGACCGAAAATCCACTGTAGACCCACCATCGTACCACCACAACAGGCGCGTGTCCAATCTTCTTTCCTCCTGCACTCACTCCAATCAATGGTGGGTGTGAATTCGAGCCGTCAGCAGAAACAGCCATCCATCCATGCGGTGAGGGCAACACTCCAGAGCGTGAAGCATGGTTTTGATGTACATACGTTGCGTAAATGCGGTCGTTTTTCTGCTACGTTGCTTACATCCAGACCACAGGTAGGTACGAACACATTGCGCTGGTTCTGTGTGATCGGTGTTGATATTGACAACCTCAAAATAGTTTAAAGACTATATTGCGTGCCCAAAACCAGAAACTATGTGCAAGAGACACGCGCCATAAGCCAAAAACAAATCACAACCCAACGTGTGCGTGGATAGGTGATATACGCATTGCTGCGTGTGCATTACGGTATGCTTTTTTCAGGGTGGGCTGAGCGGTCGCCGGGTCTTCACAGCACTATTATTACTGTTTTTATTATAACTATTTTTGTTGTGTTCTACGATGTTAAGGCAATCAATCCCCGTGGTGGGTGTAATCGAGTTGACTTATTTACGTTATCGACGAGTTGACGCAGGATTGGGTGTGCGTGTGTAGATACTTGTTCTCAGGTGTACTGCAGCCGCGACCTGTGGCACCATACTAATATTTAGTCTAAAATAAACTCTAGGTGCTGCAGCCGCGACCTGTGGCACCATATCATAGCAGATTGTGGGGTAGGGTAAACTCTATCTCTTGTCGTCATTGTTTGTGGATGTTTTCCGTATCTTGTTTGGGTTTCTCGTGGTCTTCCTGGCCCGTCGCTTGGGCCTCCCAGACAAACCCGGAGATGAACGCCCGTCATTCATTGACGAATCGATTCCGCGATATAATTACCCTGATTCATCGGCCGGTCACGCCACAAGTATTCGTTGTACTTCGTTGTTTTCTCCACAAGTAGAATTTCTCCACAAGTAGAATTTTTGACCCTCTCAGCGACATGCACATCGTAGCCGATTCCAAACATGTGAACAAAGACTGTTATGCCAATTCAAGAAAATGCCTCGAAAGAAAAAGTGAATGAGCATTTCGCGGATGCCGGCATTGTGCTGCCCGCTGGGAAGCGGCCGCGAAACGTGGAAGCGGCGTCCTGATACTCAATCAAGTAGAACGCCTTTCGAATCAAACCCTCTGTTGTTGAAAATATCCATGCTCTGTCTCGATTTCATTCGAGGGGCGGAAAACCTGTCGAGGAATCGATTGTCCCGCTTGCTTCATTTCGGTGCTCAAACTATATCAGACTCTGGCTGAAGCGGTATCAAGCCGGAGAACATATCATCGAACGCCCGACACATACTGCGCCGGAGGTCCCGTTTTTTTGCCGCCTGCATGAACCTCCGGCAGACGCCCATATCTTCCTGTCTGTTCTGTCTCTAGCTTACCCAACAATTATTTTCGATAATAGAGAGTTTCGGAAGAGTTGCCGGAAAAGTTCACTTTCACTTTTATTGGGAACCGTTCCTGGGAAAGTTCTTGTTCATCCAAAAGTCCAAAAGTTCATTTTTAGGGAAAAAAAAAATATAGATGACGTGGACAGTCGTCTCGTGGTGATTGGTGTAGGTCTCGCCGCAGCTAGGCGCGGCGGAATACAGGTTAGGCCGCGTGTTTTTTTGAATATCACACACCCGAGAGGCCGACAGGCGGGACACATCCCAACGGTCGCACCGCGAGCACGCTGCCGGCGTCACCAGCGCCCACAGACTTCCCCAGGGCCTCCCACCATGTCCCGCCTACGCATCCGAGATCGAATTGCTCGCAAGAAGCGAGCACTGCTGCTGATGCAGTGGCAGCAGTCCTATAGCCTATACACCAGCATGTGGTTCGCGTCCCACGTCGCGGTCATGTACACTCTGGGTCGCCTGGCCATCGATGATATCCCGACCGGTGCTGCACGGAGGGACGAAGACAACTTCTTCAGCCCTCAGGATTGCGTGGAGTTTATGAGGTTTACGCGAGACCAGGTGATTCTATCTATTGAGTGACGTTGGAAACGCTGGTGCTGTGTTGCTGCTGTGCCTGCTGTGTGTGCCTGCTGTGTGTGCCTGCTGCTGTCGGGAGTGGACAAAGAAAGAAGACAGATAGACCATGACCGCACACAAAAGACCGCGAGTTGTGCTGCGACGAGAGCGACACCCGAAGGCACGAAATGCACACAGCAAGGTTGAGTGTTTTGTCAACGAACGGCTACTGCATGTATTTTGACAAACA